ATGAGGGGAAACCCAAAAATGTGCAGGGCTCTGGTCCTCTAGGACTGGATTTGGGCACCACTGGTTTAAGACATTCACTGGCCAATCAGGAATATTCTCTCATGAATATTAAGGAGTGTTCCAGAACCACCCTGAAAAAAATACAAATTTGCATCTCACACTGGAGGAGAGAGTCTGGTATCATTGCCTATGGGTGCCATCTTAGGACAATACTAACGAATCTCACACAGAAAACACATATACTCACGGCATGTGCAAAAAGAACAAATGCAAAGGATTCTGTTTTTGTGAAATTAAACATGTACAACTACATCAGAATATATTTTAACCATCTTACGCTCCCACACAAACACAATATAAGCAGCTATAAAGTATTTGTAAAAAAATAGTGTTTGTTGATAGTGTTTTTGGTGATGATTTTGAGGTTTTATTTTTCTCATTTGGATGTTGTCTAAAATGACACACAGAAACTCACCTAAACACAAACATGGAAATCCATCTACACACAGTGCAGAAAACACACTCATCACAACAANAGTGCGAGTGTGTGTGATTGCAGTGGTACGGGTGTAATAAACGGCATATGGTGATTAAACCCCGAACTGTCTTTGCTGTTTAATTATTGCGAGCATGACTCAGCAACCCACAAGTACAATACTTTATTATAAATATTATATTGTGTGTGTGTGCGCGCGCGCGCAGGTGAGCTTGTCTGCTTGCTTGGCGCCGCCGAGTCACGTGACAGTCGGGAACGGCAATATAGAGCAGCAGCGCGAACACAGACATCCGAAGTGCATCCAGGAGAGAAACTGAAACTTAAGTATCGATCTCATTAAGCTGGTATTGATCAATATCAATACCAACATTATTATCGATACTTGGATCGATCCGCCCACCACAAGTATACATTAGGCGAGTTTGAGCAATAGCGGACGTAGCCGAAATAGTGCTTGTGCTAACCTTGCTGACAGGACTTCTTACATGTGTACAGATAAATGTTGAGTCACTCTCGCATTATATTGATCAACACAGGCGTCGGAATGTGCGCTATGGTTTAACAGGACTGGCAACTAGGCTTCTGATTGGCTAACATGCCAGCATGGTTAGAGTTATAATGCCGCCTGTTGTTTTGGCATGCTCTTGACAGCGCATTTTAGCGGTTTCATGTGGACTGAAATATTTTAGAAGACAATGTTCGTGTGGACGGGGATTTTTTTTTAAACGGAGGAGCTAAAACACCGTTTTAAAAAATACCCGTGTACGTGTGGATAAGGCATAACACAGGACAGGTGAGGCTAATTAACAAAGACCAGGAAAACAGGGCACAGGTGAAACTAATAAACTCAAAGGAACTAAAAGCAGGGAAACTAAGAACTAACCAAGGGAACAGAAACTAACACTGGGGAATTACAGACAGGTAAAGACAAGCAGGGGCATAAGGAACAAAACCAAATACAAAATCACCAGATACAAGAACTATCCATCCATCCATCCATTGTCCAACCCGCCTATCCTACTGGGTCGCGGGGGGTCCGGAGCCTATCCCGGAAGCAACGGGCACGAGGCAGGGAACAACCCTGGATGGGGGGCCAGCCCATCGCAGGGCACACTCACACACCAGCCACCCACACATGCACACCTAAGGGCAATTTAGCAACGCCAATTAGCCTCAGCATGTCTTTGGACTGTGGGGGGAAACCGGAGTACCCGGAGGAAACCCCACGACGACACGGGGAGAACATGCAAACTCCACGCACATGTGACCCAGGCGGAGACTCGAACCCAGATCCCAGAGGTGCGAGGCAACAGCGCTAACCACTGCACCACCATGCCGCCCCTTACAAGAACTAGAAAAACTCAAATGAAACACTAGGGAGCAAAATACAAAAACAGAGGAGGCAGGATTCAAACACAGGACAAGGGTCACAGGCAATCACATGCTCAACACATTGAGCCATGTGGCCATACAGGTAACAGGGGAGAACAAAGACTAACACGAAGGACAGGATGACCAGCAACACCTGCTGGCCAAACCGGGAAGGGACACAAAGTGGGACAACCGGCGCTGACCCTGACAGCCACGGCCAGAATGGGACCAGTTACTGGCCTGGACTCCTGACCAAACAGCCATTCAGCATCTCCCCATTTTCCTGCTTCCCTGTTCTCCCTGTTCCTGATAAAAAGCAGCATATTCCACACCTGGGTTTACCTGTTCTTGTAGCCATGTTACGGTCACTGGGCATAGTGCAGGCTGAAGTGAGGGTGACGATACGCTTGGGGATTCAACACAAACGAGGGGTTACCGAATTCAGCAGAATTTTAACCAAATCAGATTCAAATTTGCGAACGCGGGGTTGACAAAACCAGGTTGTCTCAATCGGAGCTAATCAGTACTACGACGCCAGTTAAGAAGTTGATTTGTTACATCGGTGTTAACTGCATTGGAGTTTGTGTGCGTTCACATGAATGGAGCACGTTCGGCAGCACAAGTCACCGTTTGACTCATGGCCCGATCTCCATGTTTCACGGAGGAAGACTGCATGCTATTTATGCAGCGTTATGAGGAGTTTAAATCAATGCTGTAAAGAAAGTCCAATACCACTACAGCCACCAAAAGCAGGCAGGCTTGTTGGCAACGTACTGCCGACCGAGTAAATTGTCATACAACGTAGCTTAAAATATCTCACGACCGAGTATTAGACTATGAAGTGTTTTCTGAAAAGAATTGAAATACTGTTAAAAAATACAGAGGCTCACAGATGCGACACAATTCAGAAGTAAGCCTATTATTTGCTGTTAAGTAATGTAATGCTCCCTAAAGTTCCATTACTGTGATGTTACTCATAACGTAAACCTAATGTTAATAACTTAACTGATCCGATTTCAAATGCAATAGTAGTGGAAAGCGTACGTGGCAGCAGGTCAAGATGAAATATAAAAACATCATGTCAAGCGGTAGGGCTAGGTTTTTATATTTCTACTCATTATGAAAGATTTGTTGTGTCTAGCCTCCACTTAATAGCGTGTTTCTATGTTTTACAGCCAATAATAAAAAGGTGTCTGTTCATATGATACTTAATAGAAGGTGAGTCATTGTTTAACAAACAAATGATTTACAACAGGACAAAACAGAAGCATATGTGGAGTGAGAAAACAACCAGGAACCTCTCAAATTATTCCTTAAAGTGCAATACAGTGGTACCTCGGTTCTCAAACTTAATCCAGTCCGGATCGAATCCTAAAAAGTTCGTGTTCTGATCGAATTTTTCCCATAAGAAATAATGGAAAACCAATTAATTGGTTCCCGGCCCCCCAAAATT